GGTGACGTGGAGGTGTTATCGCGTACGACCAAATAACATCAGCGCGGTGTCGGCAAACCATCTGCGTGGCGTTTGACAAACCATTTGAGTGGTGTTTGACAAACCATCTGCGAGGTCTTTCCAACTTACACCGCGAAGTGTTTGGACCCACCAATTTGGAAACCACCTGAAAGGTGTTCGCAACAACACTGCGCAAATGCTTTTCGGACACTGAATTTTTGCGATGTAGGACTACTACTACAGTACTTTCGTAAGTGAACTTCGTTATGCCGCACTTTCAAGGCACAGCTGAGGATTTCGTTTTAGGGCCGGGGCTGCGAGGAGGAAGTACGAGAAAACAAGACGTCGAGGTGAGTAGGATTCTAAACGAGGAAATGAGAGAGGAAGCTGGAGCAAAACAGATGTTGCTGCTTTGGGAATGAGAAGGGGGGGAGGACGGTTTACTGCATAAAAGGCATTGTGCTTTGCCTCGAAACGGGGTTGGGCACTGGTGGAAACCGAGCCTAAACCAGCCCAAACCAGCTCAACCCAACTTTTACAAGCCTTGCGAGTTTCGGCGAGCTTGGTAACCAGGCGAGGTTGTGCAAGTTCGATAGGTTGCGCAACCCAGGTACGCCTTCGAAGGTGGCACTCCCAGGGGGAAGTTGGCCTTGCAAGGGGCAAGCTGGGCTCGCAGGTGGACTAGAAAAGGCCAGTGCAACCCAACCAATCCCAGCGAGCTGGGGCAAGTTTTGCGAGCCGAGGGAAATGCGCGTGGAGCAGCGGGATGAGGGCGTGCGCGGGTGCGTGCGTGCGAGCGGGAAAACTTTGGCGCGCAATTGTGCCTGTTGAGCCAGCTTCCTGCAGCAGCCACCAGTGTTTGGGCTGTAAGAAAGATGGGTGGCTACTCTAAGAATTAGGAGCTATTGATTTATCCTGAGATCTTTTATAGGTGTAAGTTCTCCAATTCTTGGATGGCTCAAGGTTTCTCTGTTTTGTTTTCGGACCTGCAGTGTCATTGGGAAGTGATATCTGCAACACAACCCCATACCTTTCGCTACTCTCCTTTCCCTTGGAGCCTTGTAACAATGGCAAAATTGTAAAGCCGTTAAAGCCCGCCCGGCAGGCTGCATATTTGCACTGTTGAGGTAGGTGGGCATGATTGGCTTACGAGAATATGAACTGGCGAAATACTTTTAACGAAACTTGGCAGGAGTGCCAAGTTTCGTGCCTCCCTTTTGGCTGGGGTCGACCTTGGTGGAAGCGCCAAGTTTCCACCCTAGCAATTTGTTTTTGCGAAACACAAACGACCCAGTTTAGTCAGTTGTAAAATGAAGAGCGAGATTGTTCAGTTTTCCAAGAGAAGTGTCCTTTACGATTAGCTTATCCATGCCCGAAACGCGAAACACGCAATGAATCGCAAACTGTTGCACCACAAAGTCATCAGTCACGCGGGACTACCCCACGACTATTGGGAGAGGGTCCTCCCCTCGAGACGTGGAGAGCCTATCGTTCTGCCAGGTTTTTCTTGGCAGCAGTTGTCAGATTGAGAATGAGTAGCAGCTTTGCGAGTGATTCCCTGTAACAAGTGCCTCAAGGTGATGCATCTTGATAAAAACCTCCTTGCAACCTGACGTTCGGGCTTTAAGTAACCTCCCTTCCCGCTAGCGTCCTCACCATTTGTGGGGAGTCCTACTCGGAAGGTCAAACTCTCCCGCTCCTACACAAGCGTGGCGCTTTCCGAATTTCCAGGTTCTAGGCAGGGGATTCGGGTCGTGGAAAATGGTAAAGTTTATGAGAAAATCTGAGTTTCGAAGGAAATTTGGATTGCATGTACTTTTAGACCTGACCCGACTTTCGCCATTCCTAGGCCTTCTTGCAGTGCAAGTGTCATCCACGTCAACGAGGCGCAACCCGCCAATGGCTGGTCGCCCGATGGGCAGCTGATTTTGTGCTGGCAAGTGAGCCATCATACAAGGTAGAGTGCGGAGGTGGGGAAGGAGAAACAAGGCCTTGATTCTTTCCAATCCAAACCTTGTCGTCGGGTACTTTTCCCATCACAGGTTCCAGTTCATGATTGACTCATTTTCCTCGGTCTTCCGACTCGGGAACCCCATCGCAGACTTTGACGAAATAGGCAACATGACACAAAGCCCGAAACCTCGATTTCATTCCGAGTGCACTTTGCGAAACTCCCTGTGAAAACAGCCTATGCGACGGATTGTGTGACCTGTCCTCGGGGTCAGTCCTGCAAAAGGTAAATCTCCTATGGAGTAGTTATTTTCGACAACGTTTTGCTCTGATATTAAAAACTGTTATGGGCAAATGACGGGGCACCGAAAACGGAAGCACCAAGCACTGAGCAGCACCGAGCACGTTCATAGAGGTGACGGTGTATTCTCTGGTGCCGTGGCATGCCAGCAGTGCAACCACTCCAAAAAGATCCCGCTCGTTGTGCGAGTCTGGCGAATCTGGGCAATCCCTGACTGTTGACGGCCACCAACCACATTACTTTCTTCAGATCGAAACAAGGAAGTCTACAAGTAATACTAGGTTGTTGCATGATGGTGAGATAGACTAGGGTGGGGAGGCAAATAAGGTAGAAATTCTCGTGGGGGCAACCTGAAGCGGGCATGGTTTTCTGGCAATAACAGGAGTCATCATGCTGCAAGACCATAAAACAAATGTCGTCCTGGTGTGACTAAATCAAGGTGCAGATGGAGCTACATATTTGTAATGCTGGCTGCAAGCACGTGAACTATCTAGTGCAGTGCAAGCAGAGACGTCCGTCGGTTGCAGTCAGTCTCACAAGGGAGTGGCATGGCATTTGGAAACTACCACTAGCAGCAGAAAAAAAGGCCTTGTCGCCTCTGCTGTTGGGGTGGTGGTGGCCGTTGCATCGACCCTTTATTCACCTGCACACAATGATAAACGAGGGACAGGAGAGGATGGGTATGCATGCAATAGAGGGAAAGGTAAGGAGGGGGGAAGGGAAAGGAGACCAGATGGATGGACCCTAGACACAATATTACTATGCTACCACTACCTCCAAACCCTGCTCCTCCCCCCCCCCCCTTCCACCCACTCCACCCCCCTCCCCCCCTCCCCTCCCCCCACACCACTTCTTCCTCAGCAACTACTCTCACCTGCTTGATTATTTCATCCACATCATCAGTAGCATCGCCGCCTGCCGCCCCTCCATGTGCATTCATGGGCGGCACTGGCTTGGCAGGTAGCATCTGATGGTGCGGGCCAGTGTTGAGTGGCGACGCATGGGCCACTTGAGTGATGTGGAAGGCGGGAGGTGGGGGGGCAGAGGAGGACACAGCAGCAGAGCCTGTGGTACGGGATGGGGGCGGGGGCGGGGGTGGGAGTGGGTGGGGATGCATGGCCACTTGGGTGGAGTTGACACCTGGAGGCAGGGGCGAGGGGGGCACAGCAACAAAGCCTATGGTAGGGGATGGGGGTGGGATAGGTTCATTGGACAGTGCGACCCGGTGTTGAGTGGCGACGCATGGGCCACTTGCGTGATGTGGAAGGCGGGAGGTGGGGGGGCAGAGGAGGACACAGCAGCAGAGCCTGTGGTACGGGATGGGGGCGGGGGCGGGGGTGGGAGTGGGTGGGGATGCATGGCCACTTGGGTGGAGTTGACACCTGGAGGCAGGGGCGAGGGGGGCACAGCAACAAAGCCTATGGTAGGGGATGGGGGTGGGATAGGTTCATTGGACAGTGCGACCCGGTGTTGAGTGGCGACGCATGGGCCACTTGCGTGATGTGGAAGGCGGGAGGTGGGGGGGCAGAGGAGGGCACAGCAGCAGAGCCTGTGGTATGGGACAGGGGCGGGGGCGGGAATGGGTGGGGATGCATGGACACTTGGGTGGGGTTGAATGTGGGAGGCAGGGGCGAGGGGGGCACAGCAACAGAGCCTGCGGTAGGGTATGGGGGTGGGGTAGGTTCGTTGGACAAAACGAGCGGGGCAAAGAGGCAAGGAGGAAGGGAAGCTAGGAGGCAAGGGGGGAGCAGTGGCAATGCAGTGCTGTGAGTGAGCCGGAGGCAGCCGGAGGGGGGAATGCTTGGGCCACTTGCTTCACATAGGCAGCCGGAGGGGGGAATGCCTGGGCCACTTGCTTCACATAGGCAGCCGGTGGTTGGGGGGGGAGGATGCTACAACGGACCGTGCGAGGGGGGCGTGGGTAGGATGGAAGGACAGAGAGACAGGGAAGGAAAACAGAGGCGGAGGGGGAGGGGGAGGGGGGGGGAGGGGATTGGAGGGGGCGGGTAGAATAGCAGGGGTGTTTGGGGGGGTTTTCCTGTGAAAAGGGATACACGTGGCGAAAGTTAATTGGTTGGTTTTTAAGGCGCCTTAAGAATTACATCATCACGAAGTTGCTTCGGATTCAATGTGGCAGGGGGGATAGAGGTGAGATAGGCTGGCTGGACAGACAGAGGGAGGAGGAACAGGGAAGCAGAGGGGAGGAGGGAACGAGGGCAGAGAAAGGGACTGGAAAAGGGGGGGAAGGAGGAAGGAGAGAGGAGAGGAGCGGGGGGGAGGAGAGAGGAGAGGGGTGGGGGGGGGTTTGAGGGAGGGCCAAGTGCGGATCGGGAGTGTGAGTGAGAGTAGGGACATGTGGGGGACTTGACATGTGAAAAAAAAATAAACAAAAAAAAGGGGTGCTTTCCCATGCTGTCCCCTATCCGCTGTCCTCCCCTGCTGTGCTCACCAGTCAATCTTCTGAATGGTAAAATTCCCACACTTAAACCATGTCTAAACGACCCACCCTGACCCCCGGTGGCTGAATTAGCACCTGCAGCGGTAGGAGGAGCAACACCAGCCGCTCCTTGTGCCACAGCAACAGCTCGGGCCAGCATTTCCCCAACAGGACCATGGGGAGCCCTGGAAACAGGCATTATTGCCAGATTATCTCCCCCAGATACACCTGCCCCTGCATGCCCCTGTCCCCTCCCCCGCTGCTGCTGCTCCTGCTGCTGCCGCCGCCGCTCCTGCTGCTGCTTCTCCTCCTGCTGCTGCCACTGCTGCTGTTTCTGCTGCTCCTGCTTCTGCTTAAAATCACTGAAGTCGTGGGAAAACCCCTCCCCGGAAGACGCCTTCATAACCTCGTTAAACGAGGGAGGGCGAGGGGCCGACCGCTTGGGGGAACTCAATAAAGCGGACGAGGAGGAAGGGGCGAAGGGAGGGATAGGGTCGGAATGAAACGGCCCGTCCTCAGGAACAGTAGCAGCACGATCCTCTGATAATCTCCCACCCCCGCTGCTGGTAACCCTAAGCCCGCTCCCCTCAGCAACCCCTACAGTGTCCTCCCCGCTCCACCGAGAGAACGAATAGGCAGAGGCGGTAGAGGGGGAGCCTAGGGGGTGGGAGGAGGCGCGGGGGGAGTGAGGGGGGGAGGACGAGTCGACAGCAGCAATGAGACACGAGGGGGAGGGTTGGGAGTGGAGGATAGGGGATGTGGGGAGGTGGGAGGGGGAGGAGGAGGGTGCTTCGGCGCGAGCGGCTGCTGCCGAGGGGCCGTGAGCAGCGAACGCCCGGGAGAAGCTGAAGGAGTGGCCCTCCTGGTATCGAAAAGGGGGAGCAAGGGGAGGAAGGGTGGGGGTGAGTGAGACAGTATGGGGAAAGGAGACGAGGTGGGTAGGCTTAAGGGTAGAAAGTTGCCCACGCAGCTGCTGCCGAGGGGCCCTGAGCTGCGAACGCCCAGGAGAAGCTGAAGGAGTGGCCCTCCTGGTAGCGCACGTGGGGGGGAGGCCGGGGGGGGAGGGGGGAGAGGGGGGAGGGGAGGGAGAGGGGGGGGAGGTTTTGAGAGATATAAGGCAAGAGGTGAGCTTAAACTTAAGGGCATTGCCCACGGAGCTGTTAGAGAGGGGGCCTGAGCAGCGAACGCCCGGGAGAAGCTGAAGGAACGGCCCTCCTGGTAGCGCACAGGGGGGAAGAGGGAAGTCGGTGGCACGGCATGGCCGAGGGAGACGGCGAGACGGGTGGGCTTAAGATAAGGGTAAGGATATTGCCCATGCGGCATGGGCAATATCCGCATGGGCCCAAGTAACGAGGTGACTTCTAGGTGACTTTTGAGTCGACTCAAAAGTCACCTCGCATGGGCCCAAGTAACGAGGTGACTTCTGAGAAACGGGTGGGCTTAAGATAAGGAGGTGACTTTTCGACTCAAAAGTCGAAAAGTCACCTCCTTAAGATAAGGGTAAGGATATTGCCCATGCGGCCAGCTGCTGCGGAGGGGCTCTGAGCAGCGAACGCACGGGAGAAGCTCAAGGAACGGCCCTTCTGGTAGCGAACAGGGGGAGATAACAGGGAGGGAGGGCAGCAGGGAGGGGGACGGGGAGTGGGGTTGGGAATAGGGTATGGTAACAGCCCACGGAACCCCCTCCCCTCTCCACCCCTCTCCCCCACCCCCTTTGACGCCGCCCATTCCCTCTCTCAAAGAAAAATCCCCCCGCACGCCAATTCCTCACTCTCACTGTGACAGCCCACCGGACAGCCTCACTGTGCTCTTAGCACACCGCATCGGACAAAACGGCGGGTGTGGCTCACAATAAGAACTCTCACCGTCAAAGCGCGCATCCCACTCACACGTCTGTTCACGGCACTGCACTCCACCGCTCAGCACTGCACACCGCACCACAGCACCCACCTGCCCGCCAGTCGACTCGTCTCCGTCCGACAGGAAAGAAAACGTGGGCTGGTTCCTCCTACCTCCCCCCCCCGCCGCCGCCGCCGCCGCCGCCGCCGCCTCTGCTGCACCCCCCCCTTCCGCGAGCAAGTCTGCTGCGGCCGCCGCATACGCGGGCGCTACCTGGTACCCCCTCGGCTTTGAGGACAGACTGGGGGGGGACCTGGGAGACGTGGCCGGGGGCATGGGCGGACTTCCCCCCGAGCCCGCTACCCCTCCTGATCCCCCTACTCCCCCTTTGCCCGCTACTACCCCCTGATAGTTCTGGTTCGGGTTCTGGTTCGGGTTCTGGTTCGGGTTCTGATTCTGGTTCTGGTTCGGGGACGTGGGGGACTGCGGCGCCGCGAGTTGCGCCACTAGTTGCGCCGCGTGATGCCGCCCCGCCTGTCGCGGGGACAGCTGCCGCGCGAGCTCGCCGCCCGCGCCCGCGCCCGCGCCCGCCCTCCCGTCCGCGGACAACCCCCCCTCGCGCCCAAAGATCGCGTGCGACACGGGGTAATCCGCCGAGCGGCTACTTGATACTGGGCAATCCTGTCGCGCACTCGATACCTCTTCCTCCGCTACTAGAGATCCCGCCGATCCGCGCTCGCCTATCCGTCCTAGGCTCGCCTCGCCGCTGCCGGCGCGGCTGCCGGCGCGGCTACCGGCGCGGCTATTCGACCGGCTGCTTCCCCTGCTGCTGGAAATGCTCGCTAGCGGCGAGTGACGCGATTCGTCGCGGCGCTTACTGCGCATGAGACTAAAGTGCTCCGTGTAGCCCACGTCAGCGGACTCCTCCACGTGCCACGCGAGCGGCGACACGTGGGCTGCTTGCGACGATGACGACGGAGATGATGATGGTGACGTCGGCATGGGAGGGATGGTTCCTATGGCGGAAGAGAAAGCTGCTGGTGGTGCTGCTGCTGCTGGTGCTGCTGCGGCCGCGGCTGCGGGTGGTGATCGTGGCGATCGTGGTGCTGCTGCGGGAATAGCTGGATCGGGGGGGATATTCGGGGAGGCAGGGGGGACGAAGGTTCCAGGAAGTCGCGCGCGACTGAGCTTAGGGGGAGAGATCGCTCCTGCAGCTCGGGGTTCCACTGATTGGGTGAAATGTCGAGAGAGAGAGAGAGAGAGAGAGAGAGAGAGAGAGAGAGAGAGAGAGAGAGAGAGAGAGAGAGAGAGAGAGAGGGAGGGAGGGAGGGAGGGAGGGAGGGAGGGAGGGAGGGAGGGAGGGAGGGAGGGAGGGAGGGAGGGAGGGAGGGAGGGAGGAGGGAGGGAGGGAGGGAGGGAGGGAGGGAGGGAGGGAGGGAGGGAGGGAGGGAGGGAGGGAGGGAGGGAGGGAGGGAGGGAGGGAGGGAGGGAGGGAGGGAGGGAGGGAGGGAGGGAGGGAGGGAGGGAGGGAGGGAGGGAGGGAGGGAGGGAGGGAGGGAGGGAGAGAGAGAGAGAGAGAGAGAGAGAGAGAGAGAGAGAGAGAGAGAGAGAGAGAGAGAGAGAGAGAGAGAGAACAAAACAAAACAATCAAAATCAGGGTTGTAAGAAACAAGAGAAAACGTAACAGGCGCGAGTGTAAAGCGCGAAGAGCTTCAGCACAAGCCAAACGGCATGGCCAATGGCCGAACAGGAAGCAATGGGCAGATTGCAAGTGCGTCGCCGTGACCCCTAGCTTGAAACGAAGGTGATTTTCGAGTCGACTCATTGGATCGTTTCACCAGATCGTTTCACCAGATCGTTTCACCAGACCGCGTGAAGGATCGTGACATGAAGAAGAAGTAGAAAATACGCGATAGTAGCGCGACAAGAAAGTGGAAAGAGGGCGTGGCGGCAAAGCGCCAAGCATGGATCCCAGGAGGTACGCGAGCTTCGCTTGCCTAGTAGCGAACTGGTGGATTGGCGATAGAAACCATGTTACACAAGATGCGGCCAGGATCGGGTAGAGAGGGAAGAGAGAGAGAGGAAGAGAGAGAAAAGTCCAAGGAAGCGAGGGGTCACGGCGACGCACTTGCAATCTTCGAGCCGTTGAGCTCTGAATGTTAAGAGACGTCCCACTCCGCGACCGTACTAGCAGCGGTCCGTTGCATGACAGCGACAGACTCGACGGCCTCCCTCGTCGGCCTCTCGTCCGCCTCTCGTCCGCCTCTCGTCCGCCTCTCGTCCGCCTCTCGTCCGCCTCTCGTCCGCCTCTTTTCTCAAAGACACGATGAACGTCCACCCTTGATTCGCGCGAGTTCGCTCAATGAGGATATTCTTCGTCGGCCTCTCGTTGCATGTCAGCGACTGACTCGACTGACTCGCCCGCCTCTCGTCGGCCTCTCGTCAGCCTCTTTTCCGGGTGAAGGAACCCAGAAGCTTCTTCAAAGACACGACACGAACTTCCTCCCTCGACTCGCGCGAGTTCGCTACTAAACGAGGATCTTCCTCGTTCGCGTTGAAGGAGAAACACTAAGAGGGCGAGGCGGAGAAGAGTAGAGTGGTCTAGCGGTAGGTTTTGCTCGGTTGACAGAGAGAGGGTACTCGTGCTAATGGCAAGCGACGCAGGGAGATCCAGGGTCTCTCGCGAAGCGATGCCTAGGTGAAGAGTTTAAAAGCTGCTGTGCGACGCTATGCAACGCTAGTATGCGACGCTATGGCTTGCTCGATGACGCTCGCCTGTAGTTCCGGCACGACTGGCGATGCGAAACGCGTTTCAGGCTGGCGTGACAGACTGGTGAAGAGTAGCGGAAGTCACTAGAAACTAACGACCATGAACGTCACACACCGAGGACAGGAGACGTTCACGGGATTCCTCCCAAGCCCTAGATCTTGCTGCTGTGCTGTGTTAGGGCGTGTCCAGCGCGTACGTTTACAGTACACGGATCACGGTTCAGTAGGATCTATCACGATCAGGAACGGTTTCCGCACTTCACCCCGTTGGACCTCTGAAAAACATATTGAACCGTATAAAGTGAATTGTAAAAGTACGCGCTGGACACGCCCTTAGTGGCTCCAATACTGGCTTGAACTTGCGGGCATGGTTGGTACACGGGAGGAGTAGCGAAGGCTACTACACCCAAGTGTTCGATTAAATAGCAACCACGCAGAGAGCATATACTACACCTTCATAAGTTATATATATATAGCTGATGCGAAATATTTCCTTTTGCCATACGTGCATACCCTATGTATGCATAAAATAACGTCATTCTATACAGCTAGTAAGTCTGTATTAAAGTCTGCTTTTTGTTACACTCACCTCAAGTTTGGTTCAGGTTTGTATTGAGTCGAACATGGGGTTTCTCATGCAAGCGACTCTAGCGGGTTACAGTCACCAAGCAGATAAAATGATCGTTCCCGCCCGAAACGAAACCGCCGACTTAAACGAATACTTAGTGAAGAGCAGGCAGGTGAGCGGAAGGTGATGCGGGTTAGTCTCTATAAATGTAACAAAAACAAAAATGAAAGGCATTGGTTAACTAATTTCTGACTTCCAGCTTTGAATAGCGGAATGGGGAGGGAGGGGTTGTGGGGAGGAGAGTGCTAGCCTAGCCAGCCACTCTGTTGTGGGAAGGAAAACCGGTTAGGGCATGGAACATTTTTTATGATTATGAAGAACGTTTTTTACTAACATGTGTTTGCCTGATGTCTTTGCCAAACTTCGTAAAGGGCGAACACCAGTAATTCAGTGAACCTCCAAACGAACATGCTGGTGTCCCCTGTTGAAACCTCAAGCGTGGAACAATTTTTGGGTACAAACGAAGCTTGTCAGAGTCGCACAACATTTGAGGGTGTCGGAGATTCAATCTCACAAGTATTTCGCATGCCCTCGCCATGGGCAAATGAGGCTTTCGCACGAGCACATGGCGGAAATGGTAGGTATTTGTGGGGGAGGGCTTGGGTGCAGGGCTGATTTTATCAGACTATTTAAGTCTGATTATCTGAAATTTCGGACCCTTTTTTTGTCGATCCTAATTTTACAGACTTGCCATTTTCTGAATGCTGAACCCTTCAGAGTTATATGTTTTTGAATCCAAAGAATCTCAGACTTCGCAGTTTGTGGATATAGAGTTTTCAGAGCGCTGCACGTACGGACCCTGAGACAGACATACCGGTACTGCACCTACCTGTTAAACTAAGCTAGGTACCGTATGTTAAAGTAAGAACTGAATAATGAACCAGAAGGAGAAACCTAGAACAAATACTAGTTGGTTGTACTCACTAGAAGCATACCCCAGTCTAGCCTATAATTTCTACATAACTAATATGTATAAGTTGACACACCCCCTAGGCTAGACAAGGGGTGAAGCTAAGCAAGAAGCAAACAGCTCAGGGTGGCACAACTAGTCCAACCACTGATGCAGGGGTCTGGAGACCAGTCAGCAAGAGTACAAACAAGACTAAAGCAAGCCAGGGCGGCACTACTAGTCCAGCCACTGGAGGTAAGGCCACAAGGCCAGTCTGACAGGTATATATAATAGAGAGAACACAACCAGGATCCTAACACGTGAGTAGCTACAGGAACAAGGCCAAGCTGTACACAGTGCCGTTGATGATCTTTAGGCGCAAGCGCCTTAGTAAAGATATCAGCTGTGTTGGCACCTGAGGCCAACTGAACTACGCGAACCTGGCGGCGCTGCTGTAACTCGCGCAGGAGGAAGTACCGCAACTGGATATGCTTCGCTCTGCCCTCAAGCCGAGGCTCCTGACACAAGAGTATCATGGCCCTGTTGTCAGCGTACAGGACCGGGGCAGAGCTAGGCCGCTCACCTAAGTCAGTGAGCAAGAAGGTCAGCCAGCGGAGCTCCTGTGCCGCCATGGCACCGGCGTAGATCTCAGCCTCACAGAGCCACAGACGACGAGCGAGTGGATCTCCAAGAGATAGCACCCGAACCAAGGCTAAAACAATAGCCCTGCGACGACCTGAGCGTCTCAGAGTCGTCTGCCCAAGAAGCGTCTGTGTGCCCCGTAAGGACCACTGGCCTACGTCCTCCTAGCACTAACCCCATGCCCGATGTACTAGCAAGATAACGCAAAACCCTCTTAGCGGCAGACCAGTGCTGAGGTCGGTGTCTGCCTGTAGCCACAAAGCGAGCCAGGATGCTGAGAGGGTATGCGAGATCTGGGCGAGTGCAAGTCATCATGTACATGAGGCAACCCACCAGCTCTGCGTAGGGGCCGCTGGGCTCTACCAACTCCTCAGGTACTGGAGCGGAGAGTCTGTGGTCTACAGGCAGAGGGGTGGGCTGTGCAGAGGAGAACTGAAGACCGAACCTCTAAAGGACCTGACGCACCAAGTGTGACAGTGTCAGAGTGATGGTGCGTGCTGCTCTGTCCCTAGAGATCTGCAAGCCAAGATAGCGACGCAGCTCTCCAAGGTCAGTGCAGGTGTGTCTCTTCAATAGCTTGGCCTTCACAGAGGCCAGTGCGTCCCTGTCAGCAGTAGCGAAGACCAGGTCGTCTACGTAGACAAGGATGTAGAACGGAGTCTGGCCGGAACGCACAAACAGTATGGGTCACCCTCAGGGACTAATAGCATGGAGCAGAGATGGGGAGCAGCCTCGGAAAGGAAAGCAAGCTCGTACTGCCGGTCCTCTAGGACGTCACTACCAAGGGCAGGAGCACCCCCGACGGACGGAGGACGGGTAGGGTTAGAGACCAGAGGGGTAGCGTAGTCAAGGCGGCGGGTAGAGGCGAAGTCAGCGAACGGCACGGAGGTAGTCAGAGAACGGAGGAGGTGCAACAGCAAGGGACGAGGGAGGAGGGGACGGAAGGAGGGGAGGACGAGATGAGTGGGAACGGAGCAACATAGGGTGGGAGCGCAGGACAGAAGAGACGGGACGAGCACGGGAGGGACGGCAAGACCAAGCGTGGGACGGAGGTGTAGGGTCAGGGGACAGCGGAGGGGACACAGGAGGGGAACGAGGAGGAAGACGGGCCAGAGACAAGTCTGGCGACGGGAACACAGGACCGTAGACAGGAAGGTCAGCAGGCGGTGGGGGAGACACTGGCGAACGGTCCGGGAGGGAAGATCGAGCAGGCGGAGAGCGGAGACCGGCGGCGACGGCTGCTGCGGCTGCTGCGACGGCTGGGCCGGAACCCTCGGACCGGCAGAGGCAGGACGACCGTCGGCGAAACCCTCAACAGCAGCACCCCCAAAACCAACACCCCCAGAGCGAGAACCCCTCCAACACCGGAGGCACCCCCAAGAGCCGCAGGACGAACACCCTCCTCCACACCGGCACCCCCAGGGGCCAAAAGCGGCGGCGGCAGCAGCGGCGATGGCAGCGGCTGCGACGGCGGCGGCGGCTGCGGCGGAGGCGGCGACTGCGACAGCGGAGGCGAAGACACCAGGGAAGGGGGACGCGGCAAGGACGGGCCGGGGGTACCACCAGAGTCAGCAGACTCCTCAACGGGGACAACCGACGGGAGGGGAGTGACGTGAGAGACACCAGACGGGGCAGGGCGAGGCGGGAGAGGAGCAGGGGCTACCGGGGGAGAGGGAGCAAGGAACAGGGGCGGGGCAACCGGGAGACCTCGGTGAGGGAAGCGGCGGTGGAAGGAGACAGACTCATCAAAGGTGACGTCACGAGAGTGGAGGAAGCAGTGAGACGGCGGGTGTTAGAAAAGCCAGTCAGACGAGTCCAGGGGGAAACCGAGGAAGACACAGGGGACAGTGCGGGCAGTAAGCTTGTCCGTGCCAGAGGCACGAACGTGAGCAAGGCAGCCCCAGACGTGGAACGCAGACGCGTCACCCGGGGACCCGGTCCAAAGGAGGGTCGGCGAAACCTGCGGCCGCTGGGAGCGTGGCCACAAGTTAAGCTGGTGAGCAGCGTAGCGAACAGCGAACGGCCACAGAAAATGGGGGGCATCGGCATGAATCATGGAGGTACGGGCGACCTCCATGACCAAGCCGATGCGGTGCTCAGCAACCCCATTCTGCTGTGGCGAGTCCGGCAAGGTGTACGACTGGGTGATGCCCTCCGCACGACAGAACTGTCCAAGCCGACCAGAGGCGAACTCGCCGCCACGGTCAGAGTGGAGACACAATACGGGGAGGCCGCGGTGAAGACTCGCAGCCACAACACAAGGGAGAAGAACGTCGGGCACGTCGGCCTTCCGCTCCAGGGGAAACACCGTGGTGTAGCGCGTGTAGTCGTTGACGAGCACAAGGAAGTAGCGCTCACCTCGCGGTCCGGGGACGGGGGCAGGGCCCCAAACGTCCAGGTGCAGGGTCTGAAGGGGGGCAGTAGCAGGGCGCAGTGAGGAGGAGTGAGGAGCACGGCGGAGCCGGCCCTCGACGTAAGGCGTGCACGGTGGTGCAGTCGAGGGAGGAAGGGCAGGGAGCGACGCAGGGAGACCAAAGACAAGACCGTGCTGGGACATGTGACGCGGACACGGGAGAGCAGGGTGACCTAGGCGGTGGTGCCATAGAAGGGACGGGTGAGTGAGGGACCGACACGAGCAAGCTGCAGCGACCTGGGAGGACGCACCAACCGGGGGGGAAGCGGTGTCGAGGGTAACAGACCGGACACCGGGTCCCGGGGGAACGTCGCAAGGGGGGAACCTGAGACAGCCTCAGAACAGACAGCGAACCGCTCGTGCCCGGGGAACGTGGTGGTGACGCCGAGGTCCTGGAGACAGCCGACACCAACCAGGTTCCTAGAGAACGAGGGAACGTGGAGGCCTGTAAGGGAGCCCGAGGGAACTGCTGGACAGGGAAGGAACGTGGAGCTGCGAGCGACGACAGGACCCCAGA